CCCCGCCAGCAGCCACCGCCACCTCCCAGGGACGTGTCCCACCACCCCAAGCAGCCCCACGGAGGTGGGGGGCAGCCAGGGAGCTGTGTTGGGGGGTGCTGAGGGCCCGATTTGGGGATGGGGCTGTCGGTCTCAGCAGCCAGAGGGATCAGGGCGCTGGGGTTGGGGGTGCAAGGGCAGAGTCTGGGGGTGATGGAGGTGTCCCAGGGTGTGGGTGATGCTGAGGGTGACGGGGTGAGGGTGGGGGTGGTGTGGGTGCGAGGGCTGGGGGTGTTAATGGCAGTGATGTGGGTGCAGAGGTTGGGGGGTGCGGGTGACGGGCGGTGGTGGGGCTGCAGATGGTGGGGACGATCATGGTTTGGGTGCCGAAGATGGGGGCGCAAGTTCTGGGGTGCCCATGCCAGTGGTTGGGGGGCAGCTGATGTGGGGGCTGATGAAGTGGGGATGAACTGGAGAGCTGAGGAACTGGGGAGCCCAGAACTGGACCCAGTGCTCCAGATGGGGCCTCACCAGGGCAGAGCAGAGGGGGAGGACTCTGAGGAGAAAGACCTAGGAGTCCTGGTGGACAACAGGATGACCATGAGCCCACAATGTGCCCTTGTGGCCAAGAAGGCCAATGGCATCCGGGGGGGAGGGAGGCTTCAGGAAGAGTGTGACCAGCAGGTGGGTGGAGGGAGGTCATCCTGTCCCTCTGCTCTGCCCTGGTAAGACACCGGTGACGGGGTGAGGGTGGGGGTGGTGTGGGTGCGAGGGCTGGGGGTGTTAATGGCAGTGATGTGGGTGCAGAGGTTGGGGGGTGCGGGTGACGGGCGGTGGTGGGGCTGCAGATGGTGGGGACGATCATGGTTTGGGTGCCGAAGATGGGGGCGCAAGTTCTGGGGTGCCCATGCCAGTGGTTGGGGGGCAGCTGATGTGGGGGCTGATGAAGTGGGGATGAACTGGAGAGCTGAGGAACTGGGGAGCCCAGAACTGGACCCAGTGCTCCAGATGGGGCCTCACCAGGGCAGAGCAGAGGGGGAGGACTCTGAGGAGAAAGACCTAGGAGTCCTGGTGGACAACAGGATGACCATGAGCCCACAATGTGCCCTTGTGGCCAAGAAGGCCAATGGCATCCGGGGGGGAGGGAGGCTTCAGGAAGAGTGTGACCAGCAGGTGGGTGGAGGGAGGTCATCCTGTCCCTCTGCTCTGCCCTGGTAAGACACCGTCTGGAGCACTGGGACCAGTTCTGGGCTCCCCAGTTCCAGAAGGACAGGGAACTGCTGGAGAGGGGACAGCAGAGGCTACAAAGATGATGAGGGGCCTGGAGCATCTCCCTTATGAGGAGAGGCTGAGGGACTTGGGGCTTTTTAGCCTGGAGAAGAGAAGGCTGAGGGGGGATCTGATCAACACCTATAAATACTTCAAGGGTGGGTGTCAGGAGGATGGGGCTGGTCTTTTTTCACTGGTGCCCAGGGACAGGACAAGAGGAAATGGGCACAAACTTAAATATAGAAAGTTCCACCTCAACACGAGGAGGAACTTCTTTCCTGTGAGGGTGGCAGAGCCCTGGCAGAGGCTGCCCAGGGAGGTGGTGGAGTCTCCTTCTCTGGAGACATTCAAACCCACCTGGACACGTTCCTGTGGGACCTGCTCTGGGTGGCCCTGCTCTGGCAGGGGGTTGGACTGGATGGTCTCCAGAGGTCCCTTCCAACCCCATGTGATTCTGTGAAGCGGGTGCAAGGGGTGCTGATGCCAATGGTTGGCGTGTAAATGTGGATGCCAACCACGTGGGTGTGAGTTCTGGGGTGCTGATGCCGACGGTTGGCGTGTAAATGTGGGTGCGAGTTCTGGGGTGCTGATGCCGACGATGTGGGTGCAGATGAAGTGGGTGCAGATGTGTGTACAAATTCTGGGGTGCTGAGGCCAAGGGTTGGGGTGCAGATGGAGGCAATCCGGGTGCAAGTTGTGGGTTACTGAAGCCCATGCTCTGGGTGCAGATCCCGGGGTGCAGGTGCAGTGGGTGACACGGGTACTAGGGATGCAGGTGCTGACCTTTGGGGACCACAATGCCCCAAGCCCAAACTCCCTCCACGTTCTCAGGCCGCACTCCCCTGCCCTGACGTGGGTGATGTGGGTACCCACCTCCACCACCCGGCCATCTGCATTCCATCACAGCTCCTGCCCCATGTGAGGAGGTGTCTCGGGCATCTCCTGGGTGCCCAGGCAGGAGGGACACCCCATCAGTCAGGATAGGGCAGGATCCAGCCCCTCTGTCCCCTCACCCAGCCTGGGTACCACGGCGAGGACATCCCAGGAGCACCGTCCCCAGCATCCCACCCACCACCAACCACAGCACCCGAGTGACCCATCCATGTCCCCTCAGGCACGCAAGGAGCCAGCAGAACCACCTGCCCCCGTCTACCTCAACATCCAGGAGCTGCAGGAAGAAGCCGCAGCCACCAGCTCGGCCCCGGGGGAGACCAGCAGCTCGGTGTTGGACTGGGAAACCCACACGGACACGGACAGTGGACATTTGTTTTATTATAACCCGGTGACGGGTGAGACCACGTGGGACTGTCCCTTTGGGCAGGCAGAAGATGGAGTGAGTCCCGTCGCCTCTCCCGCCTCCTCGCTCGCCCACAGCCCGGACTTTTCCGAGTGGGAGCAGTACGTGGACGAAGCCAGCGGACAGGCTTTTTTCTATAATTCGGTAACAGGTGAGACGTCGTGGGACCCTCCCCATGCAGGAGACGGCAGCAGCTCCCAGGATATGTACCCTGGGGTGACGCGGTACGGTCCCATGGAGCAGAGGGTGAGCACCCAGCGAGGCGCGGGGATGATGGGGATGGGGATGGAGATAAGGACAGAGACGGAGATGAGGTGGAGACAGAGATGGAGATGGAGATGGAGATGGAGATGGAGATGGAGATGGAGATAAGGATGGAGATGGAGCTAAGGATAGAGACAGAGATGGAGATGGAGATGGAGATGGAGATGATGTAGATGGAGATGGAGACAGAGACGGAGATGGAGATGATGGAGATGGAGACGGAGATGGAGATGGAGATGATGGAGATGGAGATGGAGATGGAGATAAGGATAGAGATGGAGATAAGGTGGAGACAGAGACTTTGACGGAGATGGAGATGGAGATGGAGATGGTGATGGTGATGGAGATAGATGGTGATGGAGATAGATGGAGATGGAAATGAGATGGAGATGGAGACAGGGATGATGATAGACATGGAGATGGAGATGAAAGGGGGTTGGAACTAGATGATCTTTGAGGTCCCTTCCAACCCAAACCATTCTATGATTCTATGAGATGGAGACGGAGATGGAGACAGAGATGGAGACGGAGATGGAGATGGAGATAGATGGAGATGGATACAGGGATGGTGATAGACATGGAGGTGGAGATGGAAACAGAGACTGAGATAGAGATGGAGATGGGGATGGAGACAGAGTAAATTTGCAGATCACATCAAGTTGGGCAGGAGTGCTGACTTGCTGGAGGGTAGGGTGACTCTACAGAGGGATCTGGACAGGCTGGCTGGATGGGCCAAGGCCAATGGTGTGAGGTACCATAAGGCCAAGTGGCGAGTCCTGCCCTTGGGTCACACCAGCCCCATGGATGCTCCAGGCTGGGGGAAGAGCGGCTGGAGCTGCCCGGCAGAAAAAGACCTGGGCATGTTCATCAATGGATTCTACAGAAGGATCTGGATAGGCTGGCTAGATGGGCCAAGGCCAATGGTGTGAGGTACCACAAGGCCAAGTGCCGAGTCCTGCCCTTGGGTCACACCAGCCCCGTGGATGCTCCAGGCTGGGGGAAGAGCAGCTGGACCTGCTCAGTGGAAAAAAACCTGGGCGTGTTGGTCAATGGCTGACTAAACATGAGCCAGCAGTGTGCCCAGGTGGCCAAGAAAGTCAACAGCATCCTGGCTTGTGTCAGGAATAATGTGGCCAGCAGGACTGGGGCAGTGACCAACCCACTGTCCTGGGCACTGGTGAGGCTCCACCTTGAGTACTGTGTCATTTTGGGCCTCTTGTGACAAGAAAAACATTGAGGGGCTGGAGTGTGTCCAGAGAAGGGCAATTGCGCTGGTGAGGGGTCTGAAGCACAAGTCTTGTGAGAAGAGGCTGAGGGAGCTGGGGGTGTTCAGCCTGGAGAAGAGGAGGCTGAGGGGAGACCTTCTCGCTCTCTCCAACTCCCTGAAAGGAGGGTGTAGCCAGGGGGGGTCGGTCTCTTCTCCCAAGAAACAGGCGATGAGACAAGAGGAAATGGCCTCAAGTTGCACCAGGGGAGATTTAGGATGGATATTAGGAAGAATTTCTTCACTAAAAGGGTTATCAAGCCTTGGCAGAGGCTGCCCAGGGCAGTGGTGGAGTCACCATCCCTGGAGGTATTTAAAAACCGGGCAGACGTGGTGCTGAGGGACATGGGTCAGTGGTGGTTTGGGCAGTGTTGGGTTGACGGTTGGACTCGATCTGAAAGGTCCCTTCCAACCTTGATGATTCTATGATTCTATGAATGAAGATGTGGATGGAGACAGGGAAGTGGATGGAAATGGAGATGAGATGGAAACAAAGACAGAGACAGAGATGGAGACAGGGATGGGGATGAGGGT